GACCTGGAGAGAGATGAGGGTCCGAATCTCCGCGGGGAGTTCATTCCAAAGGGCCGGAGCTGCCACAGAGAAGGCCCTCCCACAGGTGGTAGCCAGGTGGCATTGGCTGGTGGACGGAACCCGTAGGAGGCCGACCCTGTGTGATCTGACGGGTCTTTGGGAGGTTCTCTTTTTAACTGAAGATGAAGGAACCTGCTTGTTTGAGTCTGTAAGGAAAACCAAAGGCTTGCACAGGGTTACTAAAGGCCTAGGGAAACGACAATCAATGAAGTCATGTATTCCAAGCTGTAATCTTTAATCCATTGCCCATCCACTCTTCATCATCTCAGGGAAAACAACACACCGGAAACTAACCACAAAACCTGCAGCACTAAACTATGCGAATTATTCTTTTTGTAGAGTCCTCGGTGAAGGTGGTTGCTCTTTGTGCTGGCTCAGGAGCAAGTATTTTACAAGGCACAGAAAGTGATCTCTATGTTACTGGTGAGAGAAACTTTTTTTGAAACAGCTGTCTACTAAAACATATTTTCTTATAGATCAGAAATACCATTTTCTGTTAACATTGTAGCTAAATTTATCTAAATAAAATATTAATATCCCTCTTTCTGCAATACCACTTATCTACTATTTATATGAAATATGAAGAACCTGGTTTGCTGGACATAACCCAAATTTGCAAACTTAAGTACAGTAATGCAAATAACTTGCACAGAGCTCTGGATCTGGAAAAAATTCCTGAAAGGTATTTTGCTGCATATTCCTCTATTTCAGATATTTTTGCATATTTAAGAATGTAAATTTTACCTATTTCATCATACAGGCAGGTTCTGGGGATAGTTTTACTTAAGAATCACAAACAAATAAACCTTACTTGAATGTTCCATCCCAAAAGACCTTTCTTTTTGCATTGTAGGAGAGATGTCCCACCATGAAGTACTCGATGCTGTTTCCAGAGGGATCTCTGTGATTTTGTGCGAGCACAGTAACACTGAACGAGGCTTTCTGTTAAAACTGAAAGAAATGCTCGCTGTGCATTTTATGGATAAGATCAATATCATCATTTCTGAGAGAGATAGAGACCCCCTTCAAGTCGCGTAAAAGAAACAAGCGTTGAGAAATAATGTAAGTGTATATCCTTTAGAGACTTAATAAAAATATTGGCAAAAATATGCTTTGATTCCTAAAATGTTAGCAATAATAAAATGTTAGCGAAATGAGTAAATGGCTGTTTGAAAAAAAGGAAAATTTATTTTACAATAAATTATTCTACAAAATGTATTGTAGCAGAGAAAAGTACACTTGAATGCTTAGATTTTTATTTTACATTTTGAAAGTAGCAAGTTGGAGGAAAGCTAAGTACAGTTTCCAATTAGCAGTATTCGCTCACTGAATATTCTTTATCCGTTCATATTTAGTTTGCCTCGTTTTACTTGCTCCAACACACTATCCTTGTCCTCTTTTCCTTCTCTGTGGTCAATTTTGTTGGTTACTTCATCCTGGGTACTTCTTGGGCAAATCAATATTTGTTACCCTAATTTCTAATTGTACTTTCTGTATAATGATACTCATTTTTTATCACCAGATTTGAACCCATTTGTCATCAATTAACATCAATCAAACATTTTCCTATATAATCTATATCAATATAACATAAACCTCTGAAGCCAAGTTTACTTCAGGAGTGATATGGGAAAAGAGATATTCTGGAAGAGTCTAGAAACAGTTTGTTTTCAGTTAAAGCTCTCTCAGTATTTAAAAAAATAGTCTCTAAGACAAAGAAATAGTTATATGGCATAAAAGAACCATACAAAAGGACACAATTGCATGTTTATTTTTATTCAGACAGCTTTTAAACAGTCATTAGGTAAAAAACAAGTTAAATAAGCATATTTGCAATTGTTGTTGACAAAAACACAGCTGTCATCATATTTAAAATGGCTTATATGGGGGGATCCTTTGTTCCCAATTAAGGCTAAATTTTTAATAAACAATGATATCCACATCTCTGGTATCAATGGTTTATTTTGCTCGGGTCCAACCAGTTTCCTAATCCAATCCTTCCATCTCACATGACACACATTTGAAGATCAATAATGGTCTGCCTATGATCTATTAAAAATATACCAGTCAATAGCTGAATTCAGCTATTAATAACCAATCATGTATATTATCAAGCACAAGTTCTCCAATTCAATCCTTATTTCCGGAAGATTTATGAACAGAAGGCACAGCAATATCAGTAGATGACATTTTCTTGGTCTACAATAATATAGACTGGCAAAGAGAGAAACCTGAGCAGCTAAAAATTGTCTTGCTTATAACAGCATCACATTCCATTATTACAGGTAGGTTAGACTCCCGAGATCTGCAAAACGGCCACACCTTAGGATAAAATTCAACAATTCTTAATAGAATTGCCCTTGAACATGTGAGCCTTCAAACATCATTATCTTTTTGCAAAAAGTCAGCCAATATTCCAGCATCCACAGGAATTAATAAATATTCCACTCCATCAGCACCCTGAAAATAAATTGAGAATTAGCTTAGAAATATAAAAATGATTTTTTTAAACTTATTCCCTCTAGTACAGAAGTCCCCAACCTGTGGACATGGCCCACTACTGGGCTGTGGCCTATTGGCCACTGGGCCACTTGAATAGTTGGCCAGTGTGTGCATGTGCACCTCCACTTGCACCAGGCTTGTGGTATTGTGTGGGTGCTAGCAATGCCATGAGTGCACCCCCACTTGCAATAGCATCGTGCGGGTACTAGCAATGCTGCAAGTGTTGTGCGGACGCTACCTTCACCATGAGCACAACACACACACCCCTCATACTAGTGTTGCAGCAGCATGCGGGCGCTAGTGTCCTAAGCGTTGGGGTGGCACTTGCAGCCCCATTCGTTGGTGCACATGCACATATAAAGGCGCCTTCCCCCCCACCTCAGGCTGCCAATCTAGAAAGGTTGGGGTACTCTGCTCTAGAACATAATTCAATATTTTGTGAGGAGTACAGTAAAGTTATCCTTATGTTTTACTCTGTATAACTGAGTGAGAACATTATTTGGCGTCTATCAATACCCTAATTGCAAAAAATATGGCATTTTATCTTCATTAAGAACACCTAACGTGATATTAAGAGCCGAGGTGGCGCAGTGGTTAGGGTGCAGTACTGCAGGCCACTTCAGCTGACTGTTATCTGCAGTTCAGCGGTTCAAATCTCGCAGGCTCAAGGTTGACTCAGCCTTCCATCCTTCCGAGGTAGGTGAAATGAGGACCCAGACTGTGGGGGCGATATGCTGACTCTGTGAACTGCTTAGAGAGGGCTGAAAGCCCTATGAAGAGGTATATAAGTCTAACTGCTATTGCTATTGCTATTCTCTAGCATTTATCAATGTAGCCATAATAATTCAATCTGGATTCTTTCTCAAACATGGTTAAATAAAAGTTCACAACTGACACAAAGATTCTCCTCACTTACCCTCTTAGTCCGAATGAGCTTGTGATCCCTGAATTCTGTGAGCTGAGCTCTAAGAGTTAGATCACTATTGACCAAGAAGGCCTCCCGACAGCGCTGATACAACTCTTGGAAAGAAAGACCTAGTAAAAGAGAAGCAAAAGAGATTTAATATCAAGCATAAAAAATGAACTCTTGTTCAAATGGACAACTCTCATTTCAACACCAAGAAACATCATCTAATCTAATCTGTAGAACTTGATTGTTAGTGCTGAAGGTATTTCCCCCCCTAAAACTTTCAATAAGAAATGCACATATTAACTATTGTACATAACATTCGTGTAAAACTGCAGTAGAAAAATGCCGAAGACAAAGCAAGCCACCAGTGTTCAAACTCAGAGTATACTCAGTGCATATCTCAACACATAGTTCTGATCAGGTCTACGACAGTGTTTCTCAACCTTGGCAACTTGAAGATGTCCGGACTTCAACTCCCAGAATTCCCCAGCCAGCATTTCTAGGATTACTTGCCACAACCAACCCCCCCTAGGACAACTTGCCATGACCACTTTGCCATAGGACAATTCAACCCTGTATTAATTGTTTCTTGCGCTTACTTTTATTATTGGTGTCTGTCTTTTCGTTGAAATTATTTTAACTCTTTTGATTTCTGGATTGACTTTATTGTTATTGGCCAGAGTTCCACTGAAATTCATTTAAGTTTTATATTTGTTGAATTGTCTGCGGTGAGTTGTCCCATGGCGAGTTGGCCAGGATGAGTTGTCTGATCTGTCTGCATATATAATGTCAATTTGCATATGTTCATTCTTTTTATATTCTGATTTTATCATCATATCAAAGAAAGGTTTGTAAAGTCAGTAATTTACAAACAAGAATTGCAAAGCCCATTTACTCTATATTGTAATTTAGATATAATGGAATTATTGATCGGTCAAAAGTATGAAAAATATTGTAAGGTACATCATAACGTGAGGCTATGACTGCACTATTCTAGTGGCTGGCCGTCCACATTATTTTAAGCTATAATATAGTTTGCTCTTGGATTAACGTGACATTAGAACATATTCATTTATCTATAATTGGAACCTTATGAATGTTCAACATTTAGATTGTCAGTTGCTCTTACCTGAACTGCATGTCTCAAGGGTGGCGTGGGAGCAGTCACTGATGGGTATTAACACGGCCCATTTATATTTTAAATGGACCATGTTAATACCCATCAGTGACTCCTCCCACGCCCCACCTCGGAGACTTTGCATGATCTCCGCCATTATTTGATACTAATTTTCATAGATACGTAGATACTTGACCAAAAGGTTATAATAAAGTAATGTATTATCTTCACACACAAAAACAGTAAGCATCAGAATTTATCAATGAGAAACAGCACTGGAATTTTCCTACATTTATACCCTATGGTCAAAGGCTTAGATGACCATAGAAACCAAGAGAGCATGACTTGGCTGTTTGGTGAATTGAAGAAGTGGAACATAATGAAAGGAGGAAAACTATATTCCAACTACTTCCCAAACAGCTATTTGGGTAAGCTAATGGGAGCAAAATCTAAAAAGAAATTCTGCATAGTGACAGTCGTCTTTGCCATTTAAATTGTGTTCCTCATGAGGATGTGCTCAGAAAAATCTTACAACCTAAAAAACCCGGAGATCCATTAGCCCAAGCCCAGAATTGGTTCTGACTACAAAGCATCAGACTGCTCTTAAATATTTTCCACTATACATCCTAGCTTACTGATCTTTTAGTTTAAAGCTATACCATATTCCAACTAGAAAAAAAAACATTTAAGTCTCAGCCCATTTATTAACAGATAATGTTCAGTGTCAAAATTCTCTACCAAACTCTTATCTTGACAACATTGCTATAGTTTGAACTCTAGGAAACAAATTACAAATGTTGCATCTTTACCTAAATAGGAGGGATTATCCTTATTCTCCAATTGGTACTCTACCAAGAGCCTAAAGATACCCCTGGAAAGAGACAACCATGTTAATATAGTTAAATACAGCAAGAACCATACATACACATTCACTCCTTGTTTAGCGACTAACCACAATTAGAAAACATTTGCAAATATGACTAATTTAAAAATTCATTTTCCAACCAGTAACCATGGCGGAGCTATTATAAGACAAAAAAGTTCTGAATGAGACAGCAATCACTGTGATCTTCACAGTGTCAAAGTTGTGTGTTCATGTAACGACCATTTCACTTAACAACCTGGTCAGTGGAATAGAATTCGGTCAGAAAACTAGGAATGAGTGTACTTATCACTGAGAAAAATTGTTCTAGGAAAAATCCATACTCCCCATACCATTTATATTCTTATTTTTATATTTTCTTTAATGGTTCCACTAAACACTGGACTAAACGTTACACAATCTCGCTATTCCATGCATCAGTGTAGCTGCCATTTTTTATCAGCTGGTTTTACTTTCCCCAAAGGGGGGGAAAAACCTATTTATCTAAATTTAGCCATTTATTTGTGTGCATGTACATGTAAGACAGAAATGCTGTCTATTTTTAAATACCTCATTTGCCAATTGCCTCCAATAGACCGATTAGATCCCACAGATTAGGCCTCCTCTGAATTCCATCCGCCGGCCAATGCCGACTGG